CAAATTTTACACACAAGTCATAAATGACATAACGGAGCTATGAAAATTTTTGGAACTAGATTCCGACTCTGGTATCAAAAAGTCAACTTATCGGTCAAACTTCCAAACTTAAATTCTTGTTTTTAGCCATTTCAAGCCTAATTTAACTACGGACTTCCAAATAAAATTCCGAACACGCTCCTAAGTCCAAAATCACCATACAGAGCTGTTGGAATCATCAAAATTCTATTCCGGGGTCGTTTTCTTAAAATGTTGACCGAAGTCAAATTTAGCACTTTAAGGCCAACTTAAGGAACCAAATGTTTCGGTTTCACCTCAAACACTTCCAAATCCCGAACCAACCATCCCCGCAAGTCATAAATCATTACAAGCACCTACGAAAAGTTTTATTTTAGGGAGCGGGGTTCTAAAAGTTAAAATGACCGGTTGGGTCATTACATTCTCCACCTCTTAAACAAACGTTCGTCCTCGAATGGGTTTAGAATTATACCTGAAGTGCTGAATAAATCTTGATATCTACTCCGCATGTTTTCCTCGGCCTCCCAAGTCGCTTCCTCGACTGGTTGGCCCATCCACTAGACGTTTACTGCAGAAACCCTCTTGGACCTCAACTGGCGAACCTGTATACCAACAATGGCAATTGGCTCCTCTTCATAACCCAATCTATTATCTAGCTGAACTGTGCTGAAGTCTAATACATGTGATAGATCGGCATGATACTTCCGGAGCATAGATACGTGGAAAACCAGATGAACTCCCGATAGGCTAGGAGGCAATGCAAGCTCATAAGCAACCTCCCCAACTCATTTCAACACCTCAAATGGGCCTATAAAACTTGGGCTCAACTTGCCCTTCTTCCCGAATCTCATAATTCCCTTCATCGGCGAAACCTTCAAGAGAAATGTTTCACCTACCATAAATGATATATCATGCGCTTTCTGATCCGCATAACTTTTCTTCCTGGACTGTGCTGTATGAAGTCGTTCCTGAATCAATTTTACCTTTCCAAGGTATCCCTTACCAAATCAGTACCATATAACTTAGCCTCACCTGGCTCAAACCATCCGATAGGTGAACAACATCGCCGACCATATAAAGCCTCAAATGGAGCCATCTCGATGCCGGATTGGTAACTGTTATTATAAGCAAACTCGGCTAAAGGCAGAAAACGATCCCACTGACCTCCAAAGTCGATCACACATGCCCTGAGCATATCCTCCAAAATCTGAATTGTCCGCTCTGACTGCCCGTCGGTCTGCAGATGAAAGGCTGTGCTGAGCTCTACACAGGTCCCCAACTCACTCTGTACTGCTCTCCAGAAATATGAAGTAAACTGAGGGCCTCTATCTGATATGATGGAAATTGGCACACCGTGCAACCGAACTATCTCCTGAATATAAATCTGGGCCAACCTCTCTAAAGTATACGTAGTCACAACAGGAATAAAATGTGCCGACTTGGTCAACCTGTCAACAATCACCCAAACTATATCAAACTTCCTCAAAGTCCGCGGCAACCCAACTACAAAGTCCATAGTAATTCGTTCACATTTCCACTCTGATATAGTCATCTGCTGAAGTATGCTGAAGTATGCCACCTGACCTCTGGTGCTCATATTTCACTTGCTGGCAATTTAGACACCTAGATACATACTCAACTATGTCCTTTTTCATTCGTTGCCACCAATAATGCTGCCTCAAGTCACGATACATCGTAGTAGCACATGGATGAATAGAATACCGAGAACTGTGTGCCTCCTCCAGGATCGTTTTCCTCAGTCCATCCACATTAGGAACACATAGACGATCCTGAAGTCGCAAAACACCATCCGCTCTAATAGTAACTTCCTTGGCACCACCTTGTAGTACCGTTTCACAAAGAGCCGTCAAGTATGGGTCATCATACTGGCGAGCCTTGATCTGTTCAAATAGTGAAGATTGGGCCACCACACATGCAAGAACTCGGTTGGGCCCTGAAATATCCATCCTCACAAGTCTGTTAGCCAAGGACTGAATATTTGAGGCTAATGGCCTTTCCTCTGCTGAAATGAAAGCCAAACTACCCATACTCTCCGCCTTTCTGCTCAAGGCATCTGCAACCACATTTGCTTTGCCCGGATGATACAGGATAGTAATATCATAATCTTTTANGGATAATAATATCATAATCTTTTAGTAACTCCAGCCATCTGCGCTGCCTCAAATTTAGGTCCCTCTGCTTGANCCTGAAATATCCATCCTCACAAGTCTGTTAGCCAAGGACTGAATATTTGAGGCTAATGGCCTTTCCTCTGCTGAAATGAAAGCCAAACTACCCATACTCTCCGCCTTTCTGCTCAAGGCATCTGCAACCACATTTGCTTTGCCCGGATGATACAGGATAGTAATATCATAATCTTTTAGTAACTCCAGCCATCTGCGCTGTCTCAAATTTAGGTCCCTCTGCTTGAACAAATGCTGCAAACTGCGATGATCAGTGTAAACTTCACAAGACACCCCATAAAGATAATGCCTCCAAATCTTAAGAGCGTGAACAATCGCAGCTAACTCCAAATCATGTACCGGATAATTCTTTTCGTGGGGCTTCAGCTGACGTGAAGCATATGCAATAACTTGCCCTTCCTGCATCAATACACAATCCAAGCCAACGCGCGAAGCGTCGCAATACACTGTATACATCCCCGAACCGGAAGGCAACACTAACACTGGTGTTGTAGTCAATGATGTCTTGAGCTTCTGAAAGCTCACCTCACAATCATCGAACCATCGGAATGGAGCACCCTTCTGGGTTAATTTGGTCAAAGGTGCTGCAATATATGAAATACCTTCCACGAACCGACGATAATAACCTGCCAAACCCAGAAAACTCCTGATCTCCGTCGCCGAAGTGGGACGATGCCAATTCTGAACTGCCTCAATCTTTTTGGGATCAACTTTAATACCTTCGCCCGATACGATATGTCCCAAAAATGCTACAGACTCTAGCCAAAACTCACATTTAGAGAACTTAGCATATAGCTTTTGTTCCCGTAATGTCTGAAGCACTACTCTCATATGCTGCTCATGCTCCTCCTTACTACGTGAGTAGATCAAAATGTCATCAATGAAGACAATGACAAATGAATCAATATATGGCCTGAATACATTGTTCATCAGATCCATAAACACTGCCGGGGCATTAGTTAAACTGAAAGACATTACCAGAAACTCATAATGACCATATCTAGTACGGAAAGCAGTCTTCGGAACATCCGAATCCCGAATCTTCAACTGATGGTACCCCGACCTCAAGTCGAACTTAGAGAATACCCTAGCACCCTGCAACTGGTCAAATAAGTCATCAATACGCGGCAACGGGTACTTGTTTTTAATAGTGACTTTGTTTAATTGGCGATAATCAATACACATTCGCATCGTGCCATCTTTCTTCTTCACAAATAATACCACACTTCCCTAAGGCCCATAAGCCATTGTATTCCTTCTTAAGCACCATATAAGTACCACCACCGAGACACCCACTCTGAAGAGGCCTTATGTGAACTTAAAATTGTTCTTTTACCTTTCTTATACTGGAATGTAGAATCCATAGTCTTACAGAATTGCCGCAAGTCCCGACACCATCAAATACAAATCTTAGATTCTATCCATACACAAGTCCGAAAAAACAATTTCAATTGCTATATATAAATCTCGGACCCATTAGAACCTTCTCAGACACATGCCCCATTAGCACAACAACACTCAAAGAAATAACCCTGCCTTAACACCACTGCCCAAATTCATATTCCATGCACATTACATTCTTCACAACTTACAAATTTAATCATTCCATGATTTTTCATATTTTCATAAGTGCATTACATCCCGTATTCAGGAAATTTCCGTACTCGAGTCATCCTCGATCTCAGCCTCTGTAGTCATAACTACTCCACAAGTATGTCTCGGACAAAAATTTAATTTAACCTATAACCATGAAATTGAATTGTCAATAGCAGGCTCCCCCACTTGGCTCGAAGCCGTAGAATAAAACATTTGATAACTCACAATACCCATACCATATTACTGCTATAATACTACAGTCAGTTCAATGAAAATTCTTTTCAAGCTCATGCAATACCAACCATAAAATACCTCAATCATCCGTTAAGCTCGCATTTATTCTCTTGACAGTCAAGTCAACTTTCTCACCCAGATTCAAATTCAAATCTCAACACATACACTATGCTGGTAGAAAAGAAACTCTTCACTCAACATTATAAGGATCACACATCCGTAAATTACCCCGCAGGTGATAACCTGCCTGCTTGGCCTCAAACTGGCATCTTTCTATACTTGTTTTTACAGCCACAACTACTACGTAATCACTTAACCTTCTTGAGTCCAAACTCATTGACAAGACATGAGAATTTAATTTGTTCCACAATTTAACAACGTGAAAGATCCTTCAATACACTCACAACTTGAGACTATACGTCAAATAAAGACAGAAATCAAGTACCCAATAGCAAACTCTTGAGTCACAAGTAAACTTTATTCTCACATTCAACCCATCTGAACACATCTCGCAGTCACATTATACTTATCATATAGCTATTCAACCGCTCATCGAGCCATAAATTTTCCACTCATAGGGATACTACTAGACATATGAGTGCAAATGTACAAGTCACAACTGAAGCTACCGAGCCTACGCTGCGGTTCAACCATGGCCTCAAGTCCGCAAGACTGGCCCATCACCAAAACACATAATACATATATCGAACCTCGTTCTTGGAATCACAAGCCGGCGATGCACAACCGATATCGAGCGCTTATGTGCGCATACGAATGCGTGGAAGGAATTCAAAGAGTTATGTCTCAAGCTGAATCAATTTTGCACGATAGGGAAAGAAAGATGGGAAGTATATATCCTAAATGCCATGTAGCCTCTCGAATATAAGTATGGACGTCATCATATCGATCCGCAAGACTCTACTAGACACTTGCTCATGATTTGTAGAACCTATGAACCTAGAGCTCTGATACCACCTTATCACGACCCAAAATCTAACTAGTCGTGATAGCACCTAACACAACCCGCTAGGTAAGCCAACTTTCAATTATCCAATTACAACAACAATGATTTAAAAGAGAATATCTAAAATCAATACATTTCTCCAAGAACTGGTAGTACAAATTATGAGCTTCTAAGAATAGAGTATACAAAGCGGAACTGAAATAAATACATAATCTGTTTGAATAATACATAAACAATGCTTTTATAAATCTAAGGCTACCTTGAACAAGAGGTAACTACAACAGGAACGCAGGTACATCTTCAAATCCGGCAACCATCGAACACAGCCACAACGACAACCAATATCTGCACGCAATATGCAGAAGTGCAGTATCAGTATAACCGGCCCCATGTACTGAGTAAGTAACAATCCTAGCCTTATGTTGAAAGTAGTGACGAGCTTCTACCAAGGTCAGAGTCCAACTTCTATAACCAACAATAGTTCATAACAATATTAAACAAGTAATACCAGAAGTGACACAAGAATAAATGTTCAGCTAAATTATGACTTCTGAAAATAGTTCTACCTTTCAAATACATCAATGAAAACCCGAATCGTTTACCGAAGTTACCAAAAATATGAATAAGTTTGAAAACAGTAATTTTTCCAAAATTATTTCAATAATAAATAAAATATTTTATTTTCTTTCCCAGATAACCAGTGTAAAACAAATGCATCACTATGCCCATCTGTCAACATGTGTGAGAAATCATAAATAATGTGATACCGTACAACATGAGGAAAATACATCTCTATGCATATATGTCATGTGTGCATGTCAATGTAATGTATCTCAGAGATTTCACTCGTGTACTCACTCTCAGAGTACTCAATCTCATTGTCTCGCATTATCTCTCACTATGCTCAGCACACTCAATCACTCAACGCTATACAATGCCTGCTGCGGCGTGCAGCCGGATCCCTATTTATAGTCGACTGCGCTCATTGGGGGTGTGTACAGACTCATGAGGGGAATCTACAGCCCAAGGGATATAAGCACGGATAACTCACGTGCTGCACGGACAACTCACGTGCTATAATATCATATTTGGATCCGCACGGACAACTCACGTGCTGCACGGAAAACTCACATGCTATAATAATATCTGGATCTACACGGACAACTCACGTGCTTCACGACCAACTCATATGCAAGAGTATAATATATATAAAGCTAGTATGGCCTGCTGCGGCGTGCAGCCCGATCCCAAAAATATCCTCACAATCAGGTCCTCGGCATCCCTCAGTCATCAATCTCTCCAGTCTCTCTCTCATGGGCTCACAATGTCATGAGAATAGCCCAAAATGATGATATGATGTATCAATAAATAACAATAGAGACTGAGATATGATATGCACTGAAATGAATATGACTGAGTATGAAGTTTCAATTTAAAATAAATAATTCACAATAATATGATCTCTGTGGGTCCCAATAATACTGGAACATAGCCTCAACATGCTTTTTAATATACTTTTCAGCTCAATTTCATTAACACATAAAACCGCATGGAAATTGCTAAGATTATTTATTACACAATTTCACAAAAATAATTATGTCACAATTTTTATAGTGCACGCCCACACGCCTGTCACCTAGCTTGTGCGTCACCTCCCAACAATTCATGAAATACATATATTCAGGGTTCATACCATCAGCTCCAAGATTAGAAGAGTTACTTACCTCGAACAAGGCAAACCCAACGTCAAGCAAGCTAATCAATACTTAGGAAATTCCATTCTGCGCGTATCCACCTCTGAATGCCTTCTTGTCTCCTCAATTCAATGCCAACGATCCGAAACTAAAATTTACCCCTTAATATTACTACAACGATCTACTATACTAAGCAACTTCAATCTACAATATCAACATCCATTGGGGCCAACATTAGTAACAAATTCCATAGTTTAGGCCATTTAGACAATTTACCAAACATCTAATGGGCATACATTTATGCATTTCTTAACCATAGAAATAGTTCTTTCAACTACCATAATTTACCAACAATTCATCCCACCATCATTCTTTAACAACTTATAATCCTAACATCACATGTGTGACCAACCATTCTCACCCAACCAACAAAATTCCATCAAATAATCTGCTTTCAATCTCTATAATGGTTATGTATTTAAATTGGGAGCTTATGGCTTCCAATCACCATACCATGAGTTCCTATAATTAATTCATACTCATATTCCCATAATATATTCATACATGTAAGTATAAGGGTGTAGGATTACCTTTTGGAAGAAATCTTGCAAAACCCTCCTTTGAGTTCTTGAAGAAATTTCTTGAAGATCTATGTATTTTATGTGTAGATTTCATCAATACTAGTGTAGAAATGATAGAATTTCACACTAAAATAATGGAAATTTCTTACCTTGAAGAAGAGGGGAGTTGGTGGTCTTGAGAGAGTGGAGAAGAGCTCCAAAATTCGTCCAAATGAAATGGAAAAAATGAACCCCGAAATTATTTTGTATTTATAGGCCCAGATTTCTGGGTTTCGGATGCTGCCATGGATGCTTCGCATCCCCACTTCACTCCACTTTGAAGTTCGGATGCGGACCTGGATGCTATGGCAGCACTTCACTGCCAGCCTTTCTTTCGGACGCGGCCTCAGATGCTTCGCATCCGCAGACTCCTCCGCTAGCCTTTGATAATTTGGTCATAACTTCTTATAGGAATGTCCAAATGATGAACGGTTTGAAGCGTTAGAAACTAGACTCGAAGACCTTTAAGTTTATATGTCATACATCACATAACTGCTTATATATATAGATATGCTCGTCCAAAATTTGGTCTTGTGCGTACTCATTTGGAACTTTAGTCTATCATGAAATTTCCAACTTGACTTGGACTTAGGGCTCTCCTTAGACACCACATCACTTATAATATGCCTCATACACTTATTTTCATATTCAATTGATATCCTTTATATTAATGGTCCTTGTCCACACACAAAATAATATAATGAGCGCATATCAACTTTCTTACTAGCGCTCAAGTACTTCGAAATTTTTCGGGGTGTTACAGGGTCATTCCTATTTTAATTTGGTTATTATTTGTTAGATTTAAAAATAAAATAAAAATGCTATCGAAAAGTTGTATTTTTCTGTCATTATGTTTTTTTTGTGAGGTACTAGCAACTTTTATGATTTTTATTTGAAAAAACATAGTTGTATGACTTTGATTAAAAAAATCATAATTATATGACCATTTGTGAAATTTACCCTTCACTATCACGAGCCTGCCCTCTTTTCAAAGATATATATAAGCATTTCTTTGCATGGCGAAAATCTTTTATGTTAAAAAAAAGTAAAAAAAAAAAAAAAAAAAAAAAAAAAAAA